ACGCGAGGGCCAGGTTTGCGGCTGCTGTGACAGTCGCGTGGGTGATCCAGGGGTCCGGAGGGCGCACGAGTCCGCCGTTCCTCTCAGGCTCAGGCTGCCAAGAGCCACCCCTTGGTTCAGCTTTTTCCTGTTCTCTAGCAAGAGGGGTGCTCAAATGCCATGAGATAAAAACTTGGTGTCGTTTTATGCAACGAGTCAAGGAAGATACCTTACAGGGACACGTTCTTAAAAATTGTTTTATTGCTTACACACAAGGGGGCTGACTTCAGTTTGCAAACTTACTGTTTTCCAACTCCAAAATGCTTGGCTCTGCATGTAGAGGTGTTCCTGTAGCTAACTTACTAATTAACATTCTAAAATATGAATTATTATGGATGTTAGTTGATGCTTTGAATTGTATCTTGGAATTCTATCTTGGCTGTATGAATAGTGACACTGGAAGACCAAAAGTTTTTTATTTCAGGGAAAGGAGAAAAAAAGGACTTTGGTACATGAAAGACAGGAGAAAGTTATTTTTCTTTGTATATTTGAAATATTTATGTATTCTAGGGTTACTTTCTCCAAGATTTTCTGGGACAAAACCTAGTAATTAAAATCTTCTGTATGCAAATATGCATTAGTGTAAGGGATATTGGTTTGTTTGGTTTACAGCTGCATGGAAGTATACTTCCTGTAGTTGTTCAAGCCAGGAAAGCAGCAGACCAAAAAAAATGTCATCTCAGCAGGATTCTGGAGTGGAAAAAAGCAGTAAACTGAGGGTTGAAATCCCCTTTGTTGTTATATCTTAGAAAGATTCGTGAAGGGTAATCATACCTTGGTGAAAGCAGAGAAACATCTTCAGAAAAAACAGGGGATCATATTTTCATTGAATTTAAGAAAATATTCCTTTGTTTGCATTTCTCTGTTATATAAATTTAAAATGTATCTAATACACTTCCCAGTGTTCCGCGCTTTTGATAGAGACAGCAACGGCTGCATCAGTGTGGTGGAATGGGTGGAAGGCTTATCAGTATTTCTTCGGGGGACATTGGAAGAAAGAATTAAATGTAAGATTTATCTGTATGCTAGTATTTAGTAGTAATCACTGAATTCATGACTATTAAATTACATGTTGCTTTTGTCATAATTTAATAGTTACTTTTATAAAGTATTTGTTAACTGTAGAGTTCTTCCCTGTAGTTTAATGCAATGACACTGAGTTCTGAAATGGCTTCTCCGAGACAGGTTTTTCTGTGTAAACTGCCGTTGTCATAGCTGCCACCTTTGTTGCTTACAAAAACTAGCATTTGAACTGAAGCTTGTTCTACAGTACACGGTTTTGACAGAATATATGTTTTTGTGTTCATACACAAAATCAGAAGGAAGCAGATGTAGCTCAAGGGTGATTTTGGCTAAATGACAGTCTCAAGCCAACCAAGACTTGTGCCAACATTCATTTACTGGCACAATGGGGACACGGCAGAAGCTGCATTATTTCCAGCAGTTCTTCAGCTTGGAAGCATAGATGGAAAAACTGAGTCTGTTGGTAAGATGGTCATGAGAACCTCCACAGTAATGATGGAGAAATATAGGGGAGAAAAAAATCGCAAGAACTCCAGAATTCTACGAGTACAGTTTTTCACTGCAGAGTCTTTATCAGGGAAAAAACAAAACAAACCCAAACACTCTCACGTGTTCCAAAACTGAAGAGGTTTGTTTGCTTGTTTCAATAAGTTCTGTGAAGAACAGTAAAATTTACTATGATCATAGATTTCTGATTCCAAGAAGGTAGAAACAATTAGAAGACGAATTAGGCAGATACTCGTACTTAAAATACTCTGTTAACAGAGATTTTTCCCTTTGCTTTAAGGGATACTTCAGTTGTCTTTTCCTTGGTAGTACAGCTCATTCTTCCTTTTCATTTACTTTTCTAACCCAGCTTCTGAAATAGCGAGGATGTGTTTTGTAGGTGCAAAGTCATTGTGATACAGGCAGCCGGTCCCCACCATGGGAAATTTGGCTTCTAAACTAGAACCTTGTTTATATTCTAATAGACAATTTTAGAGAAGATCTGTTAGTATGGTTTCTGTGAACTGAAGATTTTTTTTTTTTGAGCAGAAACAGATTTTAACTATGAAGGGTAAATAGGCAATAATTGACTAGGATGTGTAGCAAAACATGGTATGTGTATTTCATATATAAATATTATATATTGAGCCACAGTTATCATATGTATGGTGTACAACATACAGATAGCTTTAATGGTGTGTGATACAGCCTGTATGAACCTTAAATTGATTTATCTTTCAAAAAGACTGTTTTGAGGTTTACGACCTGAATGGAGATGGATACATTTCAAGAGAGGAAATGTTTCAAATGCTGAAAAACAGCCTTCTCAAACAACCATCAGAAGAAGATCCTGATGAGGGGATTAAGGACTTGGTAGACATAGCACTGAAGAAAATGGCAAGTACTTACTCATTGTGATACTTGAGTGTCTTTCAGACATTCATTAGCAGAACTTTAGAACCTTCCTATAAGGTAACAAAACACAGTGTATGCTTTACAGTGGGATTCTGAGCCACAGAGTTAGTTACATACTTGAGATAAACAAGTCTCCTAAGGAAAGCCAGAAGTGTAATCCAGGTGTAATGAGTCCCAGCCCAGTATCCTCACATGAAACTGTTATTATGTGAATGTATTGTAAACGTCATATATATATACTAGCATGTGTATGTGTGCATACCAGTCAAAACAAAAGCCCAGTCAAAAGTGGAAAATTCAGAAGCGTAAGCTGCATTTATTTCAGTGTTAGGCATCTGCAGTAGCTTTATTATTAAGTACGTTTGTGTTTTATCAATTGATCATGACATGTCTTTATCCAATTTATATATTCTATTAGAATAGTAACCTCAAGGTTAATAATGTAATACTTGACTTACCATGATTACTCTAGGATATCCAGATCAGCCAGGGACTGTTTCAATGTTTTCATCAAATCCAGAAATATAACCTCCCCTCCTATGGTGGTATGCAAAAAAAACCTCACTTAAAACCAGCTCTTGAATTCCAACTCCTTTTACTTGGCCCTGTCTTTTCTATTTTAAACCCACCCCTTTTGCACCTCAGCTGAAAGTTCTGTCTTACCCTTAGTTCGTGATAATGCTGAGTCTAGTTTCACACAGAAAGCAACCTGCGACTCAGCAATTTGCTCATCTTTGGAGCACTGCATGGGCAGCTTTCCTGCAGGCTGCCTCCAAAATTAGTGCCCTTGTGTTCTGGGCAGTTAATAAGTGGGCTATGCTAGTCCAAGCACAAGCACTATGCTCTAGACGTAATGAATCTTCCTATGTGTAAGATCATATTGTAAGCTAATCATGTACATAATCCTGTTTCAGCTTTTCCACAAGAACTTAATAAAGCTCTGATATGTGTTTTGAAGAATGTCCAGATCTGATTTGGCTCCTGGGCAGTTGTCAGAGTAGGATATTGCTGCCCGCCTCAAATAACTAAGCAACTGTTAGCTATCCAAAAATGTATTTGTGGGGTCTGTCACTCAAAAGAGAAAAAATTACTCTTTGAGCAATTGCCTGTACGTCCCATGGCATTGTGACTAAGCGTACATCCAGTCCTGTGATAGCGTTTTCATGCCCTGCTCTCCCTTGTCCTGAGGAAAGTAAAAGGTAGAGGGTACCCAGGCACTTCTGTTTCTCTTAAGCATCCCGTGGCAGGTTTTCCTGTTCAGGAATTGCTGTCTACATAGCTCCTTGCCTCTGCCTTTCTGACCATTAGAACCTATGCTCCCTGCATGTTCACCAGCTATGATGGTTCCATGGCTGGGTCTTAAAACATTTTGATTTGGCCCTGTGCTTTGAACTAGTCATATCCACCCGTCAATCTTTGCTTAAAGCGTTTGTTTTGTATGGTTTAAAGAAGGATTTACGCTCACGGTAGCGTTTGTTGTTTTAAGCTGCCACATCAGTAGAAGCGGGAGTTTTTCAAATTGCAGAAATATTAAAAGCACAAGGATGCTTTTTCCACCCCCAGAGGAATATTCTGCTATGCTGAGATTCTGCAGTACAACAGAAGTGGGCTGGCGTCAGCATACTTCACTGTATGCTTCTGGGTGCTGTACGTGAAAGAGACAGGGCAGAAGTATGCCTACTAGAGAAACCACCAGAGTAAAATATTTCCAGCCTCATGAATAGCATGTAGGTACACTCATGATGTAAACACATATACAGAATGTATCCCAACATTTTCTCCTAGTTTTAAGTCTCCTACTTGTAATTTATCTCCATGCAACTGTGCTTGAGATTTGTCCATGGAATGCTCAGCTCAGCCTCTTGGCATGTTAAAGTTTTGCCTTCTCTGGAATTGTCTTGGCAAAGCCACATGGGACAGCTGAGCTTGCTCCGCCTTTTATGCCTTAAGTAGAGGCAAATGATACAGATCTTGTCTGGGCAGAGACTGATGGCCCAAAGAAAATGATTTTTGCATACAATCTAAAAATAGAATCCATGTCAATAAAACACCTGCTAAACAAAAATACAATCACTACAAGGAATCATCCTTTGCTGAAGAGTTCTCTTCCTTTTGTAGGACTATGATCATGATGGCAAGCTTTCTTTTACGGACTTTGAAAAAGCAGTCAGAGATGAAAATCTTCTCTTGGAAGCCTTTGGACCATGTTTACCAGACATAAAGGTACATCAGCCTTGAGTTTAAAAAAAATGTGCAATACTTCCTGTACTATTGGTAAGGAGATGTACATACTACAGTATTAACTGTCGTTAACTGCTGGAGCCAACTGCTAAATGCTTCAGTTGAGAGACAGGCATATGCTGAGTTCCTGCCTACCTTCCACAGCACTGCAGTTTCCTTACACTGTCAAACACTGGTACCAGACAGTGTCAGAACAGTTTATGCAGTATTTGTCTGTCCTGGGGCAGCAATATAATGAATGATCCTCAATGAGCACCCTCTCAGACGAAGAAAATAAGACTGTTCTCTTGAATTGTTTATCCAGAGCTCTCCAGGAATACAACTTTTGTTTTTCTTTCTTCAGTGCCATTGGCAACCCTGCCATCACCTGACTTACAGCCTCTTTTGGGAGAGGCTGGTCACTTTCTGAAAAAAAAAAAAAAGTACCTTGAAAGTGTTCTTCATCTCAGAGTGTGGCACTTCTGGGGTTTAATTACCTCTAACTGGGCTTTATTTATTAGCAATACATTCAATTCAATTCAGAAATATTGGGGGGGGGGGGGGATGGGAATTTAGAACATGCTCGCTTTCTCAGTGTTAAGTTCAACTGTGGAGATCGTTTCTGCTCTACAATGAAGACTATTTTTTTTCTTAATCCAGTAATCATTATTCTAGTTGAACTGCATGTCATTTTTAAATACCGAAAGTTGTGCCTTCATAGAGATGGAGAAATTTTGAAATATCTGCAGTGATTCCTAGAAACAGAAAAGTGGGGTCAGACTGCTGAGAACACGGCAAGGTTTCATTTGCTGGAAACCTACACTTCCTGACAGCTCACCTGCCTGGTAGGCTGGAGGACAGGAAGAAAGAGCCTTTCAGAGCAGCCGTGATTGTAGGCTGTCTTACATCATGTCAGCTGCAAAGCAGCTGTTTCCAAAATGCCAGCCTTCTCCTGGCAGGCTGTCAAAAGACTTCCAAGGGTTTGGGAGAACCCTGGTAAGTACTCCGTTTTTTACACCAGTGAAAAGGTTTTAAAAAGCTTCTGAACAAAATTATGTTTAACTAATCAGCACAGAAAAATGACTTGTTTTCTGTCCGTGTCGGTGATAGAACAGGTACACCCCTGAGGCTCATCATGGCAAGAGGTGGAAAATGCGCCTTGTTTCTTCCTTACAGTATTTGTGCCCTCTGTTTGTACCTTACCCAGCTGTTGCCTTTTTGCTAGGTCTCTAGTTTCACCGGTCAAAGAGAACTCTATTTACACGTCCTTTCAAGCCCTAAAAGCAAAAAATAAATTTTGGCTATGAGCTTTACATGAAGAAACCCCATAACTTACTAGATTTCCCCACATGGTGATGTTGGGGAATTTTAATTGCACCCTTTGACACAAGCTAAACACTGCTTTCTACTTAAATATATTTTAAAAAAATGTAATGAAGAACTTACTGGATAGAGTCCTGCCACCATGAGCCGCTCTACAAGGAGCCTGCAAAGACGTGCCACGAGCCAATTCCTTACATATGCTTCCACCAGCACCAATCCTCTGAGCATCAGCCTGGGGCACCTTAGCCCAGCGTTGTGCTCGTCCCCCCAGCGCCAGTTCTGCTGCCCAACCGTGGTCCCCACGTGCTCCCAACTCCAGGACTGCTGGAACACAATGCTGCGGATATTTCCCAGCTCATCAGTCAGTGACATTTCACTCTTTACAGTAAGTCAGACCAGACTCTGGCATCCATGCTTCCAGCTGAGCCGCCTTGGCCTCCATGCCAGATCATTCCTTGGTCACACATGACCACTGTCGAGTAGTTACAGTTTGAGTTTTCCCCTTCAGTTACAACTTTGAATGTTCTGAGTGGTCTCTCGATGATGACATCATTAATGCTATTGAATTTACCTTTTCTAAGGTAAAAAGCAAGAGTTATCCTAAGTGTAAGGACTGTCACTGCTTACACATTTGTTTAGCATCTTTTCTGGTTAAATTTAAATAATTTAGTGAACTGATTTTTTTTTTTTTTTTTTTTTTAAACAGAGCAGGATGGCATTTGAACAGAGAACTTTCCAGGAAGCTCGTAAACTGTAGCTCCAAGTGGAATACTGTTGTAAGAGGTTTCTTCTTCACCATTTTTCATGGTATAGTAAAAATGGGAGCAACTTAGAACTATTACTAAGTTTCAGAGTTCCTTTACTGTAAAAGCTACTGAATAAATAAAATTTATTCCTATTACTCTACCTAAATACAGTTCTTCAATGAGTTATGAAATATACTATAGTATGAGGTACACAGCACAAGATTGCAACAACAACATATTATACTGGTTTGTTCATTCCAAGAAACAAATTGATACAATTTTTAACAGGGAATTGCTTGGAAATAATAGTATAAAATACTTTTATTTTTGACATTAAAAAAAAAAAAGTATTTTAATCCTTTAAAAAAGGATTGGAAGATGCTGCCAGCAGTATCTATATTCTTCTTCTCTGCTTTACAAATGGTTTGGCTGAGCTACTCTCTGTCTTTTCCACAGATGTTCTTGAAACAGAATCTGCCACCTAAATTGGGGAAAAAAAAAATCTTAGTAAGCCTTAACTGCTCCTTTTTCATGCTAGTTTTAGAGTAAGGCCATGTCTCCAAAATTTAAGTACTGGGAGGGATGTATTACTATAATCACACTTGTACTGAATTTTTGTGCAGAAAAGGGGAAAAAAAAACACCACCAAAGGCAGCATTAAACACAAGAGAGGTGAAACTTAAAAAACAGAAGTGTTAGCAGTACCATTTTTGTATTTTTAACCACACAAACTGATTTCAGATACTCGGTGATAGTGTTATGTATTTTATCGCCCCTCTTGCTACCAGAGGTGTTCTCAAAGTAAGGGTTAGTATGCTTTTTAAACTTGGGCATCCAGGAAGAGAAGGGAAAGGAAAAATATGTGTTGACACACATTTTAGACATGTATTTAATATAAGGGGGTACTTATTTATCGGTTTGACTGGAAAGAAGCTCTTTCAAAGCAGTCTAGTTAGTCATAGTCAAGGGAGCTTTTTATATCATATTTTAAATGGAAAGTTAAATCAGGAGTGTTTGACCTGCTAATTGATTAATATCCTCCATGAAAAGTTACATAGCTTAAGACATGCTTCTTGGCATAGAATTTGTGGTTCTGTACATCTTTTAATGCCCTAAGCAGTGTTGCAGCAAAATTACATTGAACTCTTCACTTTACTACCTTTCACTCCCTTTCAATAGAAACCAGATACAAGTACCACACTGGAGTCAGGAGGACTACCTGCAGAGCTATTGTGCCTCCCCACGTGGAAGACAGGTGTAGCTTACTAAAAATCATTTAGGACCATGCACTGATGCTTACACTTTCTGAAGTGTAGTGTAAGAGGTATGGAGTAGAATGGCCTACGCTATTCTGCATTATGACAGAGTAAAGTAGTAAGAACACTAGCTTTAAGTGGCAAATAAACTGGTAATACTGCATAAATGTTGAATTAAGTTACCATAGGGTCTCTGTTTTTGTGGATAACAAGCACATAATAGATGTGTTTGCAAATGAAAATATCAGAACTTTCAGAACCCATACATACCTCTTTCAGTTTATTTCGAATTAATGTAGCTGAAGTATTCAGTGAGTCGTCATCCATATCCACTTTAGGTATTTCTGGTAGCTGTGGACCAATAATGACTTCAGTATTGTCCGCGCTTGTTCCAACGAGGGAAAACTTGTTACCTTCTTCTCTCTTCCTCTTACGTTCTTGCAGGCAAGTTGTACGAGGCATAAACCTATCGACTCCATTATCAATCAGAACCATTCTGTGCTGCACTAAGGACGTTGGTGGAGTATGTCCTCCTGGATGTCCGCTGAGAGTTAGAGAAGCATTTTGACCAAAGTACCCAGAAGTTTCAGCAAAATTGTTATCATAGGGGGATGTGAACAGGCTCTGATTATGGTTTCCAGACGGATGCCCTATGTTGTGGGATACCCCATGAGAACTTGTGAAGCAGGATGGATCCCAGTTACTGGCTGCACATGATCCTGATGTACTCCACCGACAGTCATGCTTGGTGTTCTTCAAGACTGTCTTCTTAGGCCCCTCTATGTCCTTTAACCCACAGCAATCTTTAAAACGACAAAGAAGCAGCTTCGCTATTTTGTCATTATTAGTTCTAACACAGAAGAAAAAAACATTTAAGACAATGACAGAAGCAATACCAGTGATATTTCCTTCCCAGCCACCTTTCTGTGATACTTTTTACTACTTTCAAACTAAAGCTTTCCAGCCTAGTCCCTCTGCTGGTTTGTGAGGAATGCCTGAGCAAAATTATTTCAGCAGTTTTGAGAACAGTTATGATTTCAAGGATAGGCTGTCTTGCAACATTGAGAAGTTGGTTTGATGTTAAAAAAATCAGTTATTTTTACTCCCTTTAAACATCCTCATGCAACAAATAATGATATCAAAGTACATAAGCACAAGAAGGGAGAAGCCTGTGCTCCTCAATTTGCTTATTTCTCAGCTTGCCCAGCCTTCAGTGCTGCCTGGGAACTCTGCACGGCAGTAGCCTTTGCAAACCCAGTCCATTCATAGCATTCCCCCAGTGCCAACAGGCAGGCTGGAGAAATTTTTTGTTGAAGATTCTGGTACAGTCACTTTCCTTACAAAACTGTCCCTCTGAGCATGCCTGAATAGGCTGGAACAAGGGTGAAAACATGATCCCAAATTTCTTGACAGTGCTTGAAATTTCTGGTAACATTTTGAAAAGAAAACAAAAAGAGAAGGAAATACTTCATTATTAAATCTTATGCAGTTTTTTATTTTAGTGCCAACCATAACCAAAAAGTTGCTTTGAAAAAGACACAGACCTATCAATACTGAAAGATGTCTCCATTCTGCTGCAAACATACTTAAAACGCATCTTTAAACCAGCTAGATACAAAGTGTTTTCTTTAATGGGCACTAACCAAAAACCCATCCACCCCTGAAGTGAGATGTTAAGATTCTATAGGAAATATAATCACAAACCTCTTTGATTTGTTGCTTTTGCTATATATTTTCTTCTATCCTGCAACTTCTCCCTAGTTTCTTGGACTGTTTCAAACTCTGGAGCATAGCACACATGCAGCAAACTACCAAAGAAACTTCGTTCATCCATTTTTTTCTTGGCCACCCTGAAGGGAATTAAATTGTGTTGGCAAAACCGAGGATGTTACTTCAACTCTCTAGAATCTCTTTGTAAGTTTGTAAATAAAGAAGGTGTAAAAGATTAAGACAGCAAGAGGCAGATATTGCCCTGTCCAATACCTTGCACATTGCAGTTTTTGGAATTTTACAAGATAAACTTCAGTGAATTGCTCTGCAGGATATTCATCTAGAGCATGATACTCTTCAATGGCACCATATAATGCAAATTGCTCAACTAATTCCTTCATAACGCCTAATGCAGGAACTCCTTGTATTAGTAAATAACGAGATTCCAAGTTGATAGTATAAACCTGAAAAAAAAAAAAAAGGAATAATATTCCAAAATGTTCACATTCTTACTTTAGTGCAGAAGTAAGGAATTTTCTATATGTTTTCTGTTGTTCCTAAATCCTCTCGGGATGCTGAAAATCCCTCTGTACTCTGTTTGGACTTTGGACTCTTGCAGGAGCAGTAAGTGCATGGTTATCTGGGGCTTCATCACTGAGCAGGGGCTGAACTCAAAGCAGAACACAAATTAGAGTGGACTCTTCTGCACCAGGTCAGAGTAGTGCCATTTGCTGAGTAAAATCTCTTAACTCTCTGGCCAATTTCCTTGAAAGACTCACTAGTAACCAGTTAATGAGTGACACTGTCAAAATAAAGAAAATGACAGTGAAAAACCCGACTCGTTCACAGGCAGAGGTCACGCAGGTAAAACACAACGAGGGGGAAAAAAAATTCCTTGTGGCAGGACCTGTACGTGCAAAGCTGTCTCCTTGCTATGCTGCTCAAACAGCATACATTTTAAGACGGACAGATAAAAGATGCTGGAGAGAAACAGTCTTCTCCCAGCAGGTTAAAAAACAAAGAAACTACTCTTCTGTTTTGTGCGATTAACTGTCATGTCACACAGACTGTAAGGAAAGCTCTGTGACAGCTCACAGAATAGGCAGCTGAACCGTAAGGTCAGAGGAAATACACTCTGACTTTGTTAAAAAAAGCCGTACACACTTCAACTGCGTGAGTTACACATTTCTCAAAAAAAACAGCAAATGCAAGACTAAGGGAGCCGCTCAGGAAACTCTCTTAAACTGCCATCATAAAAAACAGTCTCTGCAAACGGGTCACGCAGACTGTTCTTGTGACAGCAGCTGACTCCTACCTGCTCTCCCCCCCAAGTCAGCGCTACAAGGTGCCGTGACAGCTCGCTGTACACGGGCTGCACACACAAAGCAAACCCAGCGTCCTTCCCGCTGTAACGAGAAGGTCCCGCTACGCAGTAGGCGAGGCCCACGGTGCGACGCGGGGCCTTGCCCTCGCCTCCCCAGAGCTGCAGCACCGCGCGCCCGCCTG